ATAAGTTAGAAGTAAGCATAAAACATAAGTTCATTAGGAGTAAGCCTAAGTAATAGTAGTAAATCGTGTAACTGTAAGATTTAGGATTTAAGCTACAGGACATAAAATATAGAACAGTGTGAGGTGATAAATCAGTAGGCCAGTAGAGTTATAGATAAATATAGGCTAATTGATTAACAGATATAGATAAGGTTAAATCAATATAGCCATAGACAAATAGATTGGTATAGCCATAATGACTCAATTTTTATAAYTCCTCTATGAACTCTCATATAAGTTATTTTTCAGATGCTAAAAAAAGTTTGTTTTTCTGTACTTGAGCACAGGATGTAAACCCATAAATGTTCTCGAACCCAGGATGTAGTTGTCTGTTTTTGCTCCCTGCTTTCTCAGCACTTGTATCCTGCTTGCTTACAACTTGCAGATTCTGTAGGATGTGGTTTTCTTCCTTAAATACTCTGGCCACAGACAATTTGAAGCYGTTCTCCCATAGGGTTGCTTGGACTCTGTCAGGGGTCTCTGGCCAGATAATAAAGACTCTCAAATTTTCTTTAAATTTGGAGTTTTCTGAGTGATCATCCCATAACAGTGAGAAGCCCTTTGAATATAAACAAGGTAGTGAAAACTTCATATGCTGCAGTTACATTCAAAATCAAGAAGTAACTCCTATTAGAATAACACTATACTAATATAAAGAATCAGAAAAGTGGTGCAGTTCCCTAATAAGCCTTAAAGAAATGGTAATGTAGAAATGCACTTTGCATGCAAAAATTGTGGCAAATTTTTCAGTTTCCCTGGTCATCTTCAAATACATGAGAGTATTCACACTACAGAAACTCTGAACATTAAAACATGGTAAGTTAGTTTCCCCACTTGCTTTCAAAGCCATTTCACTCACAGTAGGGAGAAAACCTTCTAAATGTGTGATATTTACTTCCTATACATGAAAGGTAATGGATCAAAGAAATGTGTGTAAATGTCCAATTTTGCCAATTCTTTTGAAGAACATAAAACAATTTGCACAGGGTGATAAATTCTGAAACAGAAATCGGATAGAGTCTTCACATGTTCCAGTTTGATTTATGTGTCAGACTGGATTTCCACTGAATTGACAATAATAGCAGAGAAAAATCAACCTCAGGGAGGGAAGATTTATTTTGGTCCATGACTGGCTGACTGCTTTGCTTTAGGCCTGAGGTGGAGCAGAACATAATATGGAATGGTGTAGGAGGGTAGACCTACTTACCTCATGGCAGCTGGGGAGGAGGGTGAGAGTGAACCAAACCCATCCCTAGTTGTCTAACAGGTTTGGATTATGCAGAGTGCAGCTGTGGCCTTTCTATTTTCTGTGCGTCTGCTTCCCTTGATACTGTAGTGTATAGCCTTGATGGGGTTTATATCCTTGGTGCCTGATGTTCCAGGTACTGATTGATAAAGGAAGAGGAAACAATGGTGTTTGCTTCCAATAAAGCATGGGAGAGGCTACCCCCAGTGTTCTGAGGGCGAACTCCTTTGTCAGTGTGGGTTTCCTTGGCACTGCTGTTTGCCATCATTTCAGAAGTCCAATAAGAAAAAGTTTTGATGTCCTTGGAGAAAATGACATTGCATTGTGTACTATCCTGAACAAGAATAAATCACATTTCCTGAAGATTGACATGATGACTTCCATTGTAGGTTACTGGGCAGCTAAACTCTTTCACTGAACTACACAGAACATGAGGAAGAGGTTATCTGTGCAACCTGCAAGTTTGCATGAGTAACTACCCCCAATTTTCAGAAGCAATTTGTGTAGAAAGAAGAGGAGACAGAGGGCTGGAGTGTAGTTCAGATAGTAGAGTGTTTTGTCTCCCATGCATGCACAAGGCCCTGGGTTCAATCCCTGGCACACACAAAAAAGTAGTTATGTGTAACATGCAGTTCTAGCAACCTAATAACAACTGACCTGCTCACCAAGAMCCTTGAGTACAACATGCTATGCTTACAGCTCAACAAGTGTGCTGATCCTCTGGTATCAGATACTGGATGGCTCTTCAGTTGGTCTTGAACCAGCCCACTTCCTCCCCACCCCTCTTTGTTGCTTGTAAATCTCAAGAATACATGTAGAATGTGTACGTAGAAGAATGAAAAGCAATCCCATGAGATGACAGGCCAAATTGTCTCTTGGAGAAGGAGAAGTGTGGGAAGGCAAAAGGTAAGAGGCGGCAGAATGGGAAGTGGAAAGAGATGGGGGGAGAGCCCACTGACCATGCCCCTCCGTGACTCAGGGGCCAGTACAATGGGATGGAGTCTTTAAAGTATTTGTCTTTTGAGGCAGCATCAGAGTAAATGTCTCTGTTCTTATAGGACAATTATTCTCAATTATTCTGAGGAATAATTGAGAATAACATTGGGGTAGGATATTGGAGAAAATTTTTGACAATCTCAAATCTGGGCAGCAGGTGGAGGGATGGTGTGGACATTATTCATATATGTGAGCTGGTTTTCAATATCCTGGTGTGATCACTGAGCTCAGAGCAATGGAGAACAATATCTCAGAAGATGAGACCCACGTCCAAATCCTGAACACTACTTGCTCAAACCATGGATTCTGGTTTGTATGCTAACTTCATTCCTGTATATTCAAAGGCAAACTWCTGTAAACAAAAATTGCATTTGGGGATGAGCAACAAGGAATTTGTTGAGGGACTAAATATGCTATATGATCAGATGATTCATTTAATCCACATTTCAGTAATTTATTAACATGAAAAATGAATCATTAGGTTTGAAATGAGCTAACTACTGAAGAAATAATAATACTTTAATTAGTTTAAGAAATTTGTAAAGTAAATCTCAGAAATTTGAGGCTATAATGTTCTTAAAACAGGAACACATTCAACCAGAGAAGTGAGACAAACCAATGGATCAGAATAGAATTCAAAGAGACAAACCCACACAGATTGTTATTTGATCCTGGATAAGTGTACTAAAAAACATATTGGAGTAAGGACAGCCTTTATAAAAAAA